TTGTGCAGACTACGAGTACCGCGAGGCCTGAACCCTAGGCCCTAGATGCACGAAGTGCAGCCGAAACTCGATTTCAATCGAAAAGTTGCAGGAAAGCCCTAAACACCTGATAAACCCTAAACCCTCAGCCCTGGAGCTCAATAAGGATAAATAAGCTAGACCCGGGAACACAACCCTAAAAAAGGGAATAAGGGCCTACTCTGAGTCCTCGTAAATACTCAGGGTTTAGGGTTTAGGGTTTAGGGTTTAGGGTTTAGGGTTTAGGGTTTAGGGTTTAGGGCAGCCTGCGGAGACCCCGACTTGGGCTGAAACTCTGATTCCGCTTGAAAGGGAAAGTTCTGATTTGGGTTCCGGCCCTTGCCCTAAACCCTAAACCCTAAACCCTAAACCCTAAACCCTAAACCCTAAACCCTAAACCCTAAACCCAAAACCCTAAACACTACACCCTACACCCTACACCCTACACCCTACACCCTACACCCTAAACCCTAAACCCTAAACCCTAAACCCTAAACCCTAAACCCTAAACCCTAAACCCTAAACCCTAAACCCTAAACCCGAATCAAAGGGTCTTGGGCTCTCTTGGAGCCTCCGGGTCCGGGAAGGTGCCCTCGCACACGGAGCCGAAGCCGACGATCAGCACCAGGGACTCGGGGGATTCAGAGGGTTGAGGTTTAGGGTTTAGGGTTTAGGGCTTAGGGCTTAGTGTTTAGGGTTTAGAGCCCGCCTAGACCTTATAAACCCTAAACCCCAAACCGTAAGCCTCCCTTGAGCCTTACGAGTACGAGCTTGGACACTTGCATCGAAGGAACTCGCAAGGGGCTGGACCTGGGTCCCTGAGGGTGAATTGACGGGGTTAAGTGACAAAGAACTGGGTAGGGGTTTTACTCCGCTGGGCAAAGGGTGCCGAGGATAGGGTTTGTAGGACGTAGGAGCGGTTTTGGTTTCAGAGCTGCAACCCCCCAAATACCGAACACACTGCAGAGGCCGAAGCGGAAAGCACCATCATGCTCTGCAAACTGGAGAAGACGACGGCGACCTGCTGCGACACGGCTTGCGGGTGTAAAGGCGGCTCAACTCCGAAACGCTTAGAGTTTTACGGTAGGGTCGGTCTTCGGGTACCTCTATAACCGCCCCTGTTAGACATGAGTTTGCACCTGGGTTTTGCGGGTTCAGAAAATTGAACAGCAGGGTGCCTTGATGTTTCTGATTGCCCCCCCCCACCCCCCACCCACCCCGCCCCCCCCACCCCCCACCCACCCCACCCCAGCATAAACCCCTCAAACCTGAAGCCCTAAGTCCTCCATAAAAGACATTCAAACAACAAATACATATATTATATATATATATATATAATATGCCCCCCCCCCCCCCACCTCCCATGGTAGACCCACGGGACCATGTAATATGGGCTTGGAGCAAGCTCGGTGCTTTGCACCCAGGGTCGTAGGCAACCTGTCCCCTAAACCGCCCCGTGGCCCTAAGACTCTAAGAAATAGTGCCATGGTCTCTTAGCATGGGCCCTTAAAAGGAACCCTGAAATACCCCTTATAGACCCTATACAATGCAAGGGCCCATACTTGAGAACCCTTTCAAGGAGGTAAGGGACCAGATCAACGGCCCATATACCTACCCTCAGAATCCCTTAAAAAAACAGGTGCACTGCCTCGGTTTAAAGGAGGCCTTCCAGCAACATGTTTGAGGTTCACCAGGGTGGGGGGCTTACGCAGATAGGGGACAAAATAGACCCCCAAATCGTAGGCTGACCGTATATTAAGGACCCCAATAAGAAGGTACCCCCTAATTTGGGAAACCCCCGGGAGTCTTCAAGTGTTCCGCAAAGGAGCCTGGTCCCTCAGCTCCTCGCGAACCGTGTTGATCATCGTGAGCCGCACCTCATCTGAGTTTGAGGGTGTCAGTTGCACTTGAGAGGAGTGTGAAACCCGTAAACCTCACACCCGATCCAATATATCAACTGACTTGTAAGACGCCGGAGGTCTCGTGAAGGTAGTGCATGTTGTCATTTGTCTTTGTATTGGATATAGTGAGCGTGAAACAGGCGTTCGTTCATTAAGCCCGCAAAAAATCACAATCACGGGGTTATGATCGAGTTTGATCTGTTGCGAGAAGCCCCCCCGAATGAAATGAGCACACCCAATGCCCTTGAATTCCCTGAAGCTAGATTTACTATGAGAATCGACCCTTGCTCTACTAATTGCTGTTGAGTCTATGCGTTCTAACGCTGTTTAGAATCAAGCTGACGATACAAACAGGAATGTAAGGGAAGCACCGTATCACATGGCCAGGAAAAAATGCGAAGCTCAGGCCGTGTTGTGGAATTCTCAGAGAACTCGTGGCGAAGTCCTGGCAAACCTCCCTGTCTCAACGCACAGCGGGATCTCACCGTGCAACCTTAAACCATAAACCCTAAACCCGAAACCCTTGTTGCCATGCATCCAGGCTGAATACTTAAGAAGGGACAGTGGAGACAAGGACCATCGGCTTTGATCGATCAGACTTTCCCTCACAACCCCTTCCCCTCCTGCACCCGCATAAAAACTTAGGGTTTAGGGTTTAGGGTTTAGGGTTTAGGGTTTAGGGTTTAGGGTTTAGGGCTAGGCTTCGGGATCCTCATCCGCCCATAAGCCAAGAGGAAGAAGAGGTTTTTTCAGCTCTCGGGGCCGCCACATTTCGAAGGGCACGTTCACATTCACGCTCGGACCACACGCTCTTGCGCTTGCAAGCCTGCCGATCTACCAGGATGGGCTATTCTGCCCTATGATCCCTTAAAAGGCCCTTTATAGGGTTCATTATGGGGATGTTAAGGCCTAATAGCCCATCCTGGTATAGGGTTCAGGGAAAGAGCACGCAAAGGACTAGATGCAGACTTGTGCCCTGGCGGCGGCACGGCTGCCAGAACGTGCAGAATAGCGTGCCCCTTGACAAAGAAATTCACAAACACGTGACAACCAACACCTCCTCAGCGATTCCTTAAAGCTGTGCTTGGGTCTAGGGTTTAGGGCCGTTTAGGGTCAGCCTGGTATTGCTGGAAGGCCTTCGTCACCTGCCAGGCGGCGCTCCGGCTCGGTTCGACATTGAGGGGTGGGCGGGGGCGGATGAACTTGTTCTTGCCAGGACGTATTAGACCCATAAGCCCTTGAAAAGGCCCTTTGTAGGGTTTATTCTGGGGCTGGGGATTACAAGGCCCAATAGCCCATCCTGGCTTCAGGACCACCATGCATCAACCCAACGGCAAGCTGCCATCTGTTCATGACCCAAATCACGAAGATTCTGATAACGGGCATGCTCTAATCGAGATGGCGTTTGGTTTAGGGCTTAGGGTTTAGGGTATAGAGTATAGGGTATGGGGTTTAGGGTTTAGGGTTTCAAGCCCGCCCCCCCCACCCGTGCATGAGGCTCAGGCATCGACTCCGCACCCTGAAACGCAGGCCCGTATAAACCCGAATGGGAGACTACCACCCGGTGCTCCCTTCTATATAGGGGCATATGTCCCAAAAAAGGGAGGGGGGCCCTTAGAAGGGCACCCCAAAATGGGGGCCCCCTTTTCGGACCCCCAAGCTCCGAGTCGCTGTGATTCCACGAGGGGGGGGCCTCCTGCACCTGGGTCTCCCCACCGAGCCAAATAAACATATGGGTGGTTAGCAAAATTATGGTCACTTTTTTGGATCCCTATTGTAATACGGCACCTTGTATTTAGGGTACCAAAAAAAGAAATCATAATTTTGACAACCACCCATATGGGTAGCATGCTAAACTAGACTCCTTTTTAGGGGGGGTGCCTTTGTAGGCTCTTTCGTACGGCACCTTTGAAAAAGGATCTTCTCCAGAATCTAGACCCTCATCCTGTAGTAAGAAGATTCAAAGAAGGAACTCCGGGAACTCCGCTCTTTGAGGCTGGTTTTTGTCTTATTGGGGTTGTAGGAAAGTAAGGGCACTCTAATGTATACCTGACGTAGTAGGCTTCATAATCAGGACCCCAATAGGGTACAGCGACAGCACTGCTTAAGACATCATGGGTTTAAGAAACGAGCACCCTCGCGGGGCGACAGACTAAAGTAAGAAATCGAGGGTACCGTCATAATCGGGATCAATTTCTTACATGGGCTTTCCCTGCCCTCGGCAAAAAAAGTAGAGGTTTCTAATCCAGCGCTGTCACTCTACCCCTATTTTCGGAAACCCCCCATACGATCCTTCGCTCGCCCGCGCCTCGCCAACCGTGATGCTGGAGTAGACGAGTGTCGACCAGAACATGGCACATGATGGGCAGCTTGTGGCCCGGATCTGCAACCCAACTGCTCGAAGGTCTTAAAGGCTTGGGGGCCCTTTCCTTCGGTGTTCATGGCTTCGGGCACCTGGGGCTAAAAGTTACGGAAGATAAGCCCTATACTTTATATAGCTGAGAGAGTCAGACACCTTAAACTGGAGCCACTATTGGAGGGGGGGTGGGGTACCACTTTTACTTTGAGTGTTGAGCAAAGGCGTTCTTGCCGGCCTTGTAGAGGGTTTGGGGGCTGCTGAATACCCTGACTCCAGCCACCCTCTGAGCTTCACGGACGTCTCGTGGGTGCAGGTTTTCAAGCTTCGGCCCATGCAGCGCCTGAAGAACCGTTGCGTGCATGATAGGGTTCTGGGAGTGAGACAGAAACCCTGCAAAACCCTAGCTCGTTCGACCCTAGACCCTAAATCCTTTCAGCCCAAAAACCCTATAATCCCTCTAGGCTTCAATTTTGTAGGAGTCCAAAGCAGTGGTCTCGGGCACAGGGCAACAACTAGACCCCACAGTCGCTGAAGCCAAAGCCCCGTAGCCGAACTCTGAACTGCAACTAAAGACAAAACGAGACCGAAACCTTTCAGGCCTCGGGTTTTTTTCCGAAACACTAAGCCCCTAATCCCCAAAACCCCCAAACCCCAACACCCAGACCTACCCCTAAACCCTAAACCCTAAACCCTAAACAAAGTCTCCATCCAGCACTTTTCGCTCACGCTGTGGAGCTCGCGGCGGCAGGGTCTGCGGCCTCCTTACCATGGTGTTCGAGTTCAGTCTAGGGTTTAGGGTTTAGGGTTTAGGGTTTAGGGTTTAGGGTTTAGGGTTTAGGGTTTAGGGTTTAGGGTTTAGGGTTTGGGGTTTGGGGTTTGGGGTTTGGGGTTTGGGGTTTGGGGTTTGGGGTTTGGGGTTTGGGCTTTAGGGTTTAGGGTTTAGGGTTTAGGCCCATTTCTAGGTCTTCCAACTGATGGGTTCAAAGGGCGCATTTGGGGTTCAAAGGGCTTCTAGGTAGGGCTTGTATAGGGGATTTGGGGTTTTAGGGCTGCTTCGGACTGACTTTGAAGGCTCTCGATGCAGACGCCGGTTTGCGGGATGCACTTACATACGGAATGCAGGAAGTCTGTTGACACATGTTTGTCTCGCAGGTGACGATGAACGAAGGGTTGGAAATGGAGGTTCACAAAAGTCAGGGGCCTGTAACGAGTTTGCTTCTGGCATCTCCATGGGAAGGAGCTCCAATAATGCATAGGCCGGAACCTCATGGCCAACCCTCAACCCTCAACCCTCAAGTTTAGGGTTTAGGGTTTAGGGTTTAGGGTTTAGGGTTTAGGGTTTAGGGCTTAGGGTAACCCTTAACCCTAAACCCCAAACCCTAAACTGAACCAGCGTGGTTTAGGAATTGGGGGCTTGGAGTCGAAGGTACAGGTGGGGCGAGGGAGAGGTCTACGCTTTCTGTTCACGGGCTGGCGTCTCAAGGTTTACAGTAAACACCAAAAAGTTGGAACATCCTTATCCCCATACCCCACAAAGTATACAACAAGGAATCCGTGCTCTAATCATCCTTAAACCATGTTCCAACTTTCAGGAGCTTACTGTAATCTGGTCACTCCTTTTGGCTCCCTGAGCCTATGGTTAAATCAAAGGAAGATGCTAGAAAACAAAGAAGAGAGAGTAGAGAAATATACAAGTTGCAAATGATAAGCGTCAGGGTGGCGGTTGATACAGGCTGGCAAACACAAGCTCTTGGCATGTTCCCCCTTATACTAGCAGTCCATAATCGGGATTCTAGTACACCTGTTGTAACCCCCCTATTGAGGACTGTGAGTATCAGGGGGAACATACCAACTCACGCGTCTTTTCTGAATGCAAGCTTGTGGGTGAAGACAGCTGCCTCTTCTCAGTCTCCAACCCGCCAGGTGGAGTGGATTCCGGTAGTGATGTGAATCGGGACCCGGAGGAATTGAGTGCCTTCGTTTAGGGTTTCGGGTTTAGGGTTTAGGGTTCAGGGTTTAGGGTTTAGCTTCGAATGCTACTTGACGGACTGCTGTAGTCGAGGCTTGAGGCAGAGTCTCGAACGCAGCTCAACGCACGGATTGTGTGCTGTTGGCATCTGAGGCATGCAGTACGGCCCCAGAACAAGACTCGTCTCTCAGGACGAATGACTGCCAATTAAAATCTGTGTCAAGACCAGATTGCGCAAATTTGCATCGGGATTTTCCTCTCCGACACGCGTCTTTCGATGAGTTACTCTGACGTATGAGTTACCATGAGAAGTACAATGACGAAGGCCGCGCTGTCCAGCAGCGGGCTATCAAGCGTAGCATGAAGGAGTCGGAGAATCCTCGGATCTCCATCTGGTCGACGCAGCCGCCTCTTGCATGAACACAGAAGTTCCCACAAAAGACCTGTACAGGGTACTCAGGGTACAACTCCAACCCCCCCAAGCTGCGCTTGGCAACGCCTACATGTTGGGCCTCGGGGATTTCCATTTTGTAGTTCAGGGTCCTATCTTGCAAATGATGTGCAAACCCTATGCGCCATGGCACTGGGTGCTACACATGAAGGATCTCAATGCGCTGTGCAAGAGCAGCTTACCTAGGGGCTCTGCCCCCGCCCCCGGTCACCCAACCCAGCCCCCCCCCCCCCCCCCCCCCCCCCCCTACAAAATCTGGCAAATCGCCATGCAAACCCTATCAGCCCTCAGAACCCTGATCCTTAAAGCCTGTAAGCCCTAAAGCCTTACAAGCCTTATATGATCAGCACTTGCATCTTCACCCCTCACGTCGAGGCCCATTGTGTTGCAGCTGCAGGAGGAAGGTGACAAAAGAGAGAATTACGAGCATGTTGAGGGACTCGGTGTCTAACCCCAATCAGGCTCAAGGTTTGCAGGGCCTAAAATGGCAGGGGGTGCGATTGTTCTTACCGAAGAGCGGAGGGCTGTCCGGGCGCAAGGGTCTCTTGTGCTATGGTTCCTTTCTGCGAGGCTCTAAAGGCAAAAGATGTGTTTCTTAGCGTCATGGATTCAGGTCCTGCCATAGGAGTAGCAACAGCAGCACAAGGCTCCTTCTGGCAGGTGCTGCAGACGGAGGGGGCGATGTCTCGGAGGACGCAGGTGTCGACTCGGTTTCGGACACAGTTTCGGAGCTGGTGCGCGTTGACTTGCCAGAGGTCATGGAGGTCTCCGCGGCAGCATAGAGTGTCGATGAAGATGTGGATGTTGAGAATGATGTCGTGGATGTTGGTAGCGATGCCGTGCGCGAGGAAGTTTCGGAAGTAGTGCTGCCAACAAAGGGCCTTCGGATTCTGTCACGGTGTAAGATGTATAGCGACTCTTTACAGTTGTACTGCCTGTGGAGGTGGTCCCATTGTCGGCAAAAGCATAGTGAATTCGCCATACCCTTGAACGAGATCACGCTCATGTGTCCAAGACTCAATATTGGATGCTCACGCACCGGCAGACGCACACGCATTCTTGCATGCACGAATGCACTCCCCCACCCACACACATACACTCTCTCTCACACACACACGCACGCACGCACTCAAGCACGCACGCAAGCACACACGCAAGCACACACGCAAGCACGCACGCAAGCACGCACGCAAGCACACACGCGCAGCCATTTTGCACACTGGTGCAGCATCGCTGAAGGACGCTGTTCCGAGTTAACTACTCTTCAACCGGCAACAACATTTTCAACTGGAACAACGATTATCATAACATTGTACAGCGAAGATGGCATACGATGAACATATCACAGATGCAGGTGACTGGCTTCGTTGGGCAAGGCTTATCACTGGAGCCAGCTAAGAAAGAGCAATTATGCTGAGTCATATCGTGCTTCCCTAAAATTTTCTCTCCATGAGTGCACGAACAAGGATACAAAGCTAACCACATGAAAGCTCTGGAACCTAATGCTTTCCACAGTTTCACTCAGAAGATCCTTTATGAAGAGAGCTCATGAGCTTCGAGGACTTAACCAGTACCACTGAACCCTCAATCCGCATGAAAGGTTTTATGGTGTATGTTCAAAGGTCTTTAAGGGAGAGAATAATCGTATTTTACCGGCGCTCTTATGCCAGAGTCTAATCATTCCCTCTAACAATAAAAACACCCCCGTTAAGATAAAATTGAGCCCAAAACCCGATCCGCCAGTCGCCCATTGCATAATCTCTACCGAATTAGGGGGCATGGGGGGCCCAAAAACCTACCAGCCCCCAAGCCTGAAACTTGGGAACCTGCTTTCGGGGTGGCTATTTACCGGGGGGACCTTTAATACCAGGGGGAAGGGATTAAAGCCGAGGGAAGTATTTTCAGGCCGGCCTGTAGAAAGACTGCAGCCCGAAGGCCCAGAGTTTTGCCGCCGTGGTCGTGGAGGTTGAAGTCAGGCTGGTGGTTGTCATACTGAGTGTGGACGTAAAGGTGCTGGAGGTGGATGAAGAGGATGCGGTGACGGTGAGCGTGCTTGACCTGGATGTTGTTGTCGTAGCAGTCAAAGAACCAGTGACAGAGAAGGTCAGAGTAGTTTCTGTTTGGGATGCTGTCACGGAGTTCGTGGTCGTTGCAGATAGAGTCGAGCTGAAGGACTCGGAGCTGGTGGAAGAAACGCTGCTTGAAGACGACGTGCGACCCGTGCTTGTGGGTGATGAGCTAGACTCGGAGCTCGTAGAAGACGACCTACTGGTGCTTGAAGATGATGTGCGGCTCGTGCTTGTTAGTGATGAGCTGCTTGTGCGTGACGAGGAGATGCTGCTGGTGAAGGACATACTGGTGGTCGTGGTCCGGGTGGATGTGCCTGTTGTGGAGGAACTGGAAGTAGACTGCGTGGAAGTCCTAGACGAGGATGCTGTGACTGTGTAGGAGGATGTGGAGACTGTGCTCGCAGAGGTTGAGGAGGTAGACGTTGGAGTCGCCAAGCTCAGTGAAGTCGGGCAGGCGAGCGGGTCGATTGTGCAATCGCCAGCCACCTCCTCACAGCAGCAAAAGCGAGCCCAACCTGTACTTGGTGGTGATGCAGCGCAAGTTGAGCCACCGGTCTCAGCATAGTAGCACTCTCCGTTGCTTACGGCCATCGGCGAGACAGCCTCCACTTGCAGATTTCCTGCCTGTGAGCTCAAACCACTGGAGCAGTCATAGCTCGACGTGTGGTCTGCGCCTGCTGAGTTCACAACGCTTCGAGTGGTGGCAACACTTGCCAGGAAGGAACGTATGTCAGAGGAGCTGCAATCACGCATAAGGGTGTTGAGCGCATCTTCCTGGCAGGGCCCGATTCCGAGGCACACCTCATCGCAGCTTTGATATCCATCGGTTGTGCCTACATGCCAGGAGGAAAGCGCGCAAGGCAATCGCGCAACCAGCACAGCTGCCATAGTGCTGGCCCATTTCCATGTTAGCATTGACAGTGTGGGCAACTGACGTTAAAAAATAAATGGTGGAGTTGTTGACCAAACTGTAGTGTAGTATTTGCCTAGCACAACTTCGAGAAGTTCTAGGCTGTATGGTGCTACACGGCGTGGTGCGGTGACATTGCACCGTCTGCCCTTGAGAGAGCATGGCAGATTCAGTTTGCTGTCACGCAGCTGAGACCAACCTCATCCTTGCACGACAATTCTTGAAACCTCCTAAACACTGCCTGCATGCTGCACAGGCCAAACAACTCCTCTCAGAGCAGCTGCCGAGAAAATGTTAATGATACCTGTCCCTCCATGCAGGAGAAAATGGCTGCACCTGAATCCTCCTTCGAACTGTTAGCAGCTCGCAACCCCATTCCCGCCGTTCCCCTTGAGATTACGCAACTTGTTGATAAGTTGACAGACTTGGGGGCTTGCGGACATAGGGTTTTAGGGCCTCAGGGCTCTTATATGAAACCGGATTAGGGCTTTCGGGCTTGACTGGGCTTGAGCTTACAGGTTTATGGGTCTGTGGGCAGACCTCCGAGAAACGCTCGGCTTGGGCGCGAAAAAGGATAAGTTCCGCCTCCTCCTGCAGAGAAGGGTTTCCCAATGGGGCGTGTTCTGTTGAAAGTCAACGCCTCAGACAGTTGTATAAGGTTAGGGTTTTAGGTCACCCATCTCGACTAAACAGTAGGTGTAGAAGGAACTGCTTAAGTTGGACATTCGGCACTGACACTACGTACTGCCATGGCTTGGAATAACAAGAGACTCCGGCTTTCCTGAGCGCAGGGGTACAGCTATGTCGCTGTAGAAAACCGAAAAACCCTGGTACACCTGGTGAGACACCGCCCCAACTTCAACAGTAACAAACAACAAACAGCAGAAATTGCCACCAAACCCCAAACACCAAACACGAAACAACACGAGACGACGGCGACGGCGGCGGTAGTGCAGCAGCAGCAGCAGCAGCAGCAAAAGCAGCAGCAAAAGCAGCAGCAAAAGCAGCAGCAAAAGCAGCAGCAAAAGCAGCAGCAAAAGCAGCAGCAAAAGCAGCAGCAAAAGCAGCAGCAAAAGCAGCAGCAGCAAAAGCAGCAGCAGCAAAAGCAGCAGCAGCAAAAGCAGCAGCAGCAGAAGCAGCAGCAGCAGCAGCAGAAGCAATGGCAAGAACAATAACACAAACAAAGCGAGAACAAGGCAGTTGGCCACCTCGGACAGTGAAAGGCCAAAACAACCTTCTCAGCAGTATTTATTGTGTTTCCGCTTGCTTGACGATTGCTTCGAGAAAATTGAAAAGGGCGATCCGGGCCAAATAAACTTCATGTTAAACCCCCCCCCCCCTTGGGAAGAACAAGGAAGAACAACAACAATCACCAGCAACACCAACAAACTTCAACCCTAAACCCGACACTCCATGAACACTCCTGCCCGCCCGCGTCCGCATCCGCCGTGGGGAGGCAGTCGAGACGTTGCCGTTGCAGATATCTTTCGGAGGCCAAACCCGAGTCTGTACATATAGATAGATCTACAGAGAGATATGCTTTACAACATACATACCGATGTGATGTGCATATACATATATACACACACATAAGAATACGCACTGTTAGCACACATATATATATATATATACACATAAACTTGGCATTATACACTCGTTACAGCGGTCAGGGTTTTGGGGGTTTGAGGGGCTTTTAGGAGGCAATTTTCAGGGTGATTGACAGGCTATGCCAACGCCTGCTCAAGACCCTGGATTCCTAGGCAAGCTGCGCCCAGCTTCAGTGGACCGCAGGCGCAGAACCCAAAGCACTATCAACTCCCTCGTTCCGAATGGCGCTCGTAGGGTTGTGGGGTTCATAGGGCCTGCAGGGCTAGTAGGGTGTGTAGGATATGTTGTTAGAGTGCTTTGAGGTGTGTAGGGTTTAGGTATTCTGGGACTTGACGTCTTACTCTGACACTCAGTGGAAGCAGACATAAACGTATGCGGTGGCCTCTCCAGCCCTACGCGCGGTACGGTTTAGGGGTTCACCGCAAACATCCCTAAACTACTGTAGCACAGCCTCCAGGAGGACTTACATAAACCCACATTTTTCTTTGTGTGTATATATACATAATTTATATGTATATATATATATATGTGGACACCCCCGGCCCCATCTATATATATATATATATACATATATATACACACACACATGCAGGGGCTTTTATTTTCACTCGGGGTACGGCAGATCCCTAAACTTTAAAGCTTCAGGGTATGTTCCTTCCTTAGGGGGTACCGGGCTCTCTGCGAACATTGCCTGCCGACAGACCCAGTCCAGAAGGGCATCTGCTTCCTCGCGTTGGGGGTTTCGGGTCGAACCGTAGACCCTAAACTCCCTAAACCCTATAACCCCTAAAGGGTTTATAGGGTATAGGGTATAGGGTTTGGGGTTCATTGTTTACTGTTTAGGGCGAAGGGATCCAAGTTAAAAGGCATGGTTCGACAGCCTCACCCTACACCCTAAACCCTAAGCCCTAGCCCTGAACCCTAAACCCTAAAACCGAAGCTGCTCTTGGGTTCAGGGGCGCAATTCCAAACTCGGTTCCCCCGTCGCGCCCACAGTCTGCTACTGGTAGGAAAGGGTTTGCTGTAGGGTTTAGGGAAAATAAGGTTTGGGGTTTAGGAATAGGGGGATCACTGTGGGTCCTAGCTTCTGGGTGTGTGTATCAGATATTCCATGAGAAAGAAAGGCACCAATAAGAGCAGTATATGAATATTCAGGCTGGACGGCAGACTGGCGGATCTCCAGTATATGAATCAAAGAGAGATAACTTTGCTGGTCTCACGCTCGGAGCCGGCAAAAAGGGACTAAACCATACGCTACCCTAGCCGAAGCCCTAAACCTGATTCCCTGCGGTACGAACCTGACTTCACAAGACCCTTGCGGCCGTCATGCCGCGCATGATCAGACCCCTTACCCCTAAACTGTAAAACCTAAACCCTAGACCCTTGAACGCTAAACCCTGAAGCCCTAAACCCCAAATTCTGGAACCCCAAGCCCTACATCCCTAAACCCTCAAACCCTCCACCCTTGAACCCTAAACCCTTAATTACACCCCAAACTCTGGAACACAAAGCCCTTGAACCCTCACACCGTTACACCCGAAACCCCAAAGCCCTACATTCAAGCCCCTTTTTCTGCAGAACATATGGCCTGAATTAGGGTCCTGTATGGGGTACTTCTTGTAAGGGTGCCATGCTATCTACAGGACCCAAAAGGGACCCTGATTTAGAGAACTTCCCTTATGCCCTAAACCCTAAACCCTCTAAACCTCAAACCCTCAACCTAAACCCTAAACCCTAAACCCTAAACCCTAAACCCTAAACCCTAAACCCTAAACCCTAAACCCTAAACCCTAAACCCCCACCCTATGGGGCGGCCTCTGGTTCAGGACGGCAAGGCCCAGTACCTGGACTGCAACTGCAGGGTTTGGGGCTTGTAAGGGTTTTATGGTTTAAGGATGTTGAAGGGGTTTTAGGGTTTAGGGTTTAGGGTTTAGGGCGGCTACAGTTTAGGGGTTGTAGGGTTCAGGGTTTCAGGGTCTAGGACTTCAGGGGTTTCGGGTTTTGGGGGGTAGGGTTTAGGCTTTCCAAACCCTGCCTTCCGAATCCTGAAGCCTTGTGTTTTGATGGCTTGCGGCCAGTGCTACAATACCCCTCTACGGGAAAGATTCCCAAAGAAAAGGTCATGTAAGCTGATCCCTACAGCCTAAACCCTAAACCCTTAAACCCTAAACCCTAAACCCTAAACCCTAGGGGCGCCAGGAGGATGACCAGGATGGACACGAGGAGCATGGCGGAGGCCAGCGGCGACTGGTTCAAGAGTTTAAGGTTTACGCCTTGGGGTTTAGGGTTTAGGGTTTAGGGTTTAGGGTGAGTTGAGGACTGATAGGGATTATCATATGGGGCGGGGGTGTATGATCATCCTTATTGAGGGCTGCGAGTGTAAGGGGGGAACATCTCAAGTTATACCCTCTGCCAGGCACGGAGGGCTCCAGATTCTCGGGTCCTTTTCGGGAGGTTCGAGGGATGTCTATCGATTACGACTTTTTGGAGGCTGAGGGCAGCTGTGGAGTGAGCGAGAGAAACTCGCCTCGGCCTCCGGCCCAGTCGACAGCCCGGTCACCTGCTCCCAAAATCCTAAACCCCCCTCCCTCCCCCCCCAAAACCCAAAACCCTAAATCCTAAACCCTAAACCCTAAACCCTAGCCCCAAACAAACCCTAAAAACGGTTGAGTTGCCGGCTTTTGATAGGGCAGCCCCAGAAGGGGCCGTCCCGGGCCGCACCGGCGTGGAAGCCTGGCTACGCACTGGTCATTAGGGTAGAAGCTTTATGTAGTTCTTGTAGGGTTTGGGGTTTGGGAAGCTTAGGAGCTCAGGGAGCATGAGATCTACAGTTACATGTGAGTGGCGGAGTGTCTGGAGGAAGGAAGTTTAGGGTTAGGACTTCGGGATCGGATTTTGGGGTTTTTGGTTCCCGGGCTGCTGCTTATGCTGTGAGGCAGAGGGTGCATAACCCTTGACCCGCTACGACAGCCCCCATACGACTTCGTACGCCCGGAAGTGTATATGCTGGGCTGAGGCAAGTCCATGTATGTGGGGCTGTGAGAAAGTTGAGGCTCTGGGACAACGGGGGCTTAAACATGCGATACACAATAAGGGCTATCCGCCGAAGAGCATCACAACCCACTATCCTCCCTCCATGGCGTGCGTCATGCCACACACGCAGGTTGGCCTCCACTCTCGGCACGTGACCTCAGCCCAACTCACCTAGGAATTGGGAACCCTAAGCCCTAACCCCCCTGAACCCTAAAGCCCCTGAAACCCACAACCACTGAACCACAAAACCCCTGAATCCCCAAACCCCTGAGCCCCGCCACAAACCCCTGCATACTCTAAACCCTATACACACCATGCACTCTTTCAACCTGATAAACTCAACAATCCCTCTCAAAAACCTGCAACCCCAAACCCCAAAACCTGAACCCCGAACCCGAAACCCCGAACCCGAAACCCCAAACCCCAAACCCTAAACCCCAAACCCTAAACCCCAAACCCCAAACCCTAAACCCTAAACCCCAAACCCTAAACCCTAAATTCGATGCGTGGGCCGAAGGGCGACTCTGGAGGGAGCCGGGCTCCTCGGCTGCGAAACGCCCGTTGCAGCGCTCCTGCCGGGTCTCAAGGGGTTCTGGGGGTTTTGGGTTTTGGGGGTTTAGGGTTTTGGGGGGTTTAGGGTTTTGGGGGTTTAGGGTTTTGGGGGTTTAGGGTTTTGGGGGTTTAAGGTTTAGGGTTTGGGGTTTAGGGTTTGGGGTTTAGGGTTTGGGGTTTAAGGTTTGGGTTTAATTACCTACAAACCGTAGGTCTTTTTGGGTTCTTAAGGTAAACCCTCATCCGACTTTTTCACGACACAGCTGGGGCTGGGCTAAGCTTGTCTCGCGAGCCGTACAGGAACGTAAGGTTGATGCGGCGGTTGGCGTAGCCTCATTCGGTCAGTAGGGTTTAGGGTTTAGGGTTTAGGGTTTAGGGTTTAGGGTTGAGGGTTTAGGGTTTAGGGTTTAGGGTTTAGGGTTCAGCAGCAGTTCAATCTTCGGCCCGCCATGAGCATGAAGCAGAAGCGATGGTAGCAGCACCAGCTTCTGATCTCTGCAACAACAGAGCCCAGACTCCCCGGAACTTCAGATATGGAGATGCTAAAAAAACCCTTTACCCTCAACCCTAAACCCTAAACCCTGAAACCCTAATTGTCGCAGGCTTAAACGTACCAGTAAGTATGCTCCTCCCAATAGTGCTCTCTAGATGCGAAGGGGAATTTTTCGACAAGAGCCCAGCCTGATTTGCGAAGGGGCTGTCATGAGTGCAGCGAGGGCACCCTCGCGAAACTTGAGGTCATCCGTTCTGTGCAGGTAGGTGGAGTCGAACAGGACCTCGGACATCAACATCAACGCACCAACCCCCCCCCCCCCCCCGATGTTGTAACTAGCTGAGCCGGACATCTTTGTGGTATCAGCTCCCTATGCTTGCTGCGCAGGCCTCCATTGAACAACCGTTTAAGGGCGCGCGCGTTCTTTCACGGCTGCGGACAGATCGGCTCTACGCATGTTTAGGAAGTGTCAGGGGTTGAGAAGTTGAGGGTTGAGAGGAGTGTGGGGGTTAAAAAGGCGACTCACTCCCCACTACTATAGGGGGCCTGAATAATTCTTAGTCTTTTGGGGTTTATTATAGTATAAGTATAACGACCCCAATAACTTTCGCCAGCGTGGGGTCCGGGTCACGGCGCGGTTCTGGACGTAGGGGATGGTCAAGTTCCAATACCCACTCTTGGCCAGGATCTCCTCCCCGCAGGGTTTAGGGTTTAGGGTTTGGCGTTTAGGGTTTAGGGTTTGGGGTTTGGGGTTTGGGGTTTTGGTTTTTGGTTTTTGGATCTTCTTCGGAACTGGGCTCGGGGGAGGGCTGGTTTGGGATTTCGACGGTGCCTGAGCTCTGCAGCCCATAAGCCCCCATGTCAACCCTACACAACCCCTATAAGAAAGCCCTAAACTCTAAACCCTAAACCTTAAACCCTAAACCCTAACAAGCTCCTGGAGAAGCGGGTTCCGGCTTTCGCTGTTGTACTTGCGGAAGTCCCACCCTTTGGGTGGGCCGACGCCGTAGATGATCTCAGACGGTCGAGCTTTCAGTGTAGGGTTTTAGGGTTTCAGGAGTTTAGGGGGTTTAGGGTTTTAGGGTTTTAGGGGGTTTAGGGTTTTAGGGTTTTAGGGTTGTAGGGGTTTAGGTTTATTTCAGGTGCAGGGCTCTTCCCAACTGACACAAGCTTCTGCGAGTTTCTATATTGTACACATCTGTGTACACATCTGCATACATGTATATGTATGTGCCTTTTTCAACGGTGCACAAAGCGAGACAACGAGAGCGAGAGGGAGAGAGCGACAGAGAGAGAGCCAACTCAAATCAGACAAAAATCCAACTCATTCAAGATACTCTGCCTTCGAGACTGTCTGGACTCCATGCACCCACGGCTAAAATCGGCCGTCCGCACACTCCCCTCATGAAGCTCATGAAGCAACGTAACATCATCAGGGATTGCCATCAAGAGTACGCCCGTGCACGGGGTGTGCTCCAGCCATTCGAGCAACAAATGCTCACAACCCGTATATTGCTAAAGCTAAATGATGGCAATCATACTATGAGCCCCTGGACCAGTCAAGTTTAAATCTCCAGCCTCGTAGACTCAATGCTCTGAAGCCTTCTCTCTGAACCCTGAACAAGCCTGCAAGCCTGTACAACATCTGAGCAGAAGTCATCTGCGCGGAAGTCTCTCAGAACTTGCCACAAGGAGTAACCTCATCCCTTCATGCACTGAAGCTCCGAAAGCCCGAAAGCAGAACTCTGCCACGACATGTAGCCAGTTCCAAGCGGCCAATCCTCCCGAGGGCAGGTCGGGGTCGGACGTCCACATGTTGGCCTGGGGGGGAAAAAGGGGGGGGGGGGGGGGGGGGGGGGGGGGGGGGGGGGGGGGGGGGGGGGGGGGGGGGGGGGGGGGGGGGGGGGGGTTACCGGGTTGCTGCTAGGGGAACTTAGATTCACTTGCCGTGGGAAAAGAACATAAGGGAACGATATGGGATGCTATGCTGCACCAGTATTATTGGGAGGTTGTGTGCCTTAGCAGAGAATCCTTGCTTTCAGGGTCCCTAAACCCTAAACCCTAAACCCTAAACCCTAAATCTTAAGTTTCGCATGGCTTAAGCGTGTGGATTTGTAGCTTCTGTGTGGCTGTCGCGTTTCACTTCCAAGGCTTCCTCCTTGCTTGGAGTTGGTTTTCATATTCAGAAATTGGGGCCCTCAAGACAGAGCCACGGTTTAGGGTTTAGGGTTTAGGGTTTAGGGTTTAGGGTTTAGGGTTTAGGGTTCACTCAACTGAAAACTCCCGACCGCCCCGAGCTTACACCCCTTCACCTCATGCACCTCGCCTTCACCCCTCATGGAAGCCAGGGTGACCTCTCTCGACCATAGTAGCCCAGAATGAAAAGATTAGCTGTAAAGGCTCAAGCGCCATAAGCCCCTACCACAAAGCTCCGAAAAACAACACACCCTGGGCGGCTCAAGCTATTTTCGACGGGTGGGGAAGTGCTCTGCCGCCCAGCCAGAAAGAGGCGCTGTACGCAAGGACCACTGCGGAAATTATGACTGGGAGTGGCCTCGGTCGGCGTCACGTAGATGTTGATCTGAACTTGTGAGTCCTGGATGCAAACTCGCTTTGGGTACCCTTGAAACTAAAGAACCTCTCAACGAAGCCGACAGTCTGGGCAGGTACTAGTAGTATGTGGAGCCCAGGAAGAAGGACAAAGATGAATTCAACAGCAGTTGCAGCGAGACCACTACCTCTTACGGAGCGTGCCTCCATTTCATAGAGTTACAGGTAGGTATGTTCCTCAACTAAGGGTGGTTTTTGGGTTTTGGGTTTTTGGGTTTTCTGTGTGCCCCCGGAGTCGAGACTTGCACATCTAGAAAAGGCCCTTGAAACGAGCGGGCTTGCCAAGCTTGCTTGACGCTGGGGTGCAACATGCATGGAGCCCTGAGCCTGACACCCCGAAATCAGCAAGGGCTTGGGGGGTTTTGTGTAATTAGGGTTTAGGGTTCATAAGGGTTTATTGTTCAGGGTTCAGGGTTTAGGGTTTAGGGTTGAGCCCGCAAAAAAAAGGCAACAACGCCCTGCTCGTTCAGATACTGCATGGACAGAGAAACGAGGCAAAGCTAACACAAAACCCTAAACGGGTCTTTTAAACCCTAAACCCTAAACTCTAAACTCTAAACCGTAAACCCTAAACTCTAAACCCCATAAACCCTAAACCCAAAACACTAAACCCTTTGGCGAAGAGGAAGCCGGAAGAAATAGGAAAGGCTTGCGGGCCCACCCTACTCGAACCCCACGACTCCTCGGAATCGGAAGTCTCCCAGCAAAGATCAGAGAAAGCAATACAGGGGTCGGAAGAACCACATAGAATATTCCCTTATGGACCCTTTATAATTCTACTATGAGAACCCCCAAACACAATTTTACTTGCTACCAAGACCCCTATACTACTTCAAACAAGCATGGGAGGCCCTAGCCACAAGACTGAAATCCAGGCGAGACGAGGCACCGAGATGATTCATGAAGGGCTACTTCGAGGTTCATAATGGGTATTTACAAGTACGGTTATGAGTAGGGTAACCATGGCTATGACCTTATTCCGGGTACTTAAAACCCCACTTACAAGTACCCATGAACCTTCAAGTAGGGTTTAGGGTTTAGCCCAGCGTCATCGGCATGCACGCCGATACCAGGGAGCTCACCATCGTACATGTACGCCCAGGCATTTCTCAGCAGCGGGGCAGCTTGCACCCCACACAGGCACCCCCCCCAACACCTCAGGGGTTACCATGTCGCTGTCTTTTGGGTTTAACGGTTTGACCGTTTAACCTAAACAAGGAAATAAAGGAACAAGGACAGCACCGGGGAATTGCAGTGGAAACATTGAGCGTCATAGACGCGGTCTTGACATCGAAGGCTTCGAGAGTTGTAGGACACAGGGCTGAAGGCTTCAGGCCTTCGGGGTTTAGGGTTTAGGGAGGATTCGGGCGAAGGTTTCTGAGCTTCACCCAAGTCTAGCGAGTCCGGAGTAACATCGCCCAGATGCCGCATCCGCATGTCTGCCGTGGAGCACCCCACCTCCTCCCCCAACCGCCCCAAAACCAATTATTGTCTTCCGGCCCTGGATTGTAAACACGAGTTTCCTATACCCAGAGCCATCAGCCCCCATGGGGTTTGGGGTGTTTAGCGTTAACCCTAAACCCTAAACCTAAACCCTAAACCCTAAATCCCCCTTAACCCCTTTGAACTTGCCGAGACATCAGAATTCGAGCTAGACGACTGGAAATCGAGGCTGCCAAGAACTTCAGGCAGAGCACTTTGGATCTCCTGGCCGAGCGGGGGATTTGGCCCAGGGCTTTCTTCTAAATGGGGTTTGGGGTCTGGGGTTTGGGGTTTAGGGTTTAGGGTTTGGGGGGGGGGGGTCTCTAAATCAGGGCCGCTCTTGGGGCTCCTCTTATCATGCGGAACCTTACATACAGGGTACTCCAGAATCCCCCATGCAGCTAGACCCTCCCAAAAATGCAGTTCCTCCTCCTG